TCTTGATCGGGTCCATCATCCGTTCCCCCACAATCTGCTTTAAGTGCAAGATGGTGAAAATTTCAATTTTAAATATCAAACTTTTCAAACCCTTCAAATTCCAAATTTCTAAGCCCATTGCTGCTACTATACGCCTGATACTATATATCTATAGATATAATGTAACTGATTGACGACTAGCCTTAATCGAAAGTTCTCTCTCATTATTGGGAGGGGTAATTAACTATAGGGGCTTGCGCCTATAGGAAACCAGAACTCAGATCATGAATTCCTCACAAAATGAGGGCGAAATCTCTGGGTAGTTTCTTATCTACAAACCCATATGCCTTCCAAAATTTACCCCGGAACTTATTTCGTTAAAACTCCCTTGCCAAAGAAAAGCAAACAGTGCGGGTGAAGGCCGGGGCCGAATTTTTGGAGCTCACACAAGCCTATCCAACATGGCTTTGACAATCACCGCCTTGACTTTTGACATTCAATGTAGGATACACATCCGTCCCACTTTTAGTCTTCATGAACGAGCATATAAGATGCTTTCACAATATACTTATTCAATTTGTAAACATAAGCAATATTTGAGAGGATACTTGTTGCATGTTTCATAGGAAATTTTATTGTTTTCATATGGCATCATTAATTCATTATATATATCTTTCTTTTATTTTTATGTTTACTTAATATGTATGATGTTGATGTTACATGTGGAAGTGTTCATGAGCATGATAGGTGAACGAAATCTCTTCATCTTACTTGTTGCTTGATTATATATATAACTAGAAAGGATGTATATAGAGGTGCAATCAATGCTGTTCTAATGGAATTTCTTCATCTTACTCGGAATCATGCAATGTTATAATTATTGAATATATATAGAGGTGCAATTCAACATTCTAAACCATCAAATATCCAACACAGATATCCTTTGTGCATAGCGCCATAGCATGCTTCATACTTAGAATAAAACCCATTTTCATGGTTACAAAAAAATTATAATTAGTTATCCTATGTCTGGTTCAATTACAGCAAGCTTTTGGTTGTTAGGAGATATCATTGTTGTTCAACTTTTGGTGGAGGAGGATCACTATTGTTGGATCTTATATTGGAGATGTTATTATTGTTGAGAACTTGATGCTCATTTCTGTGTCTGGGAAAAACGAGTAATGCTCAAACAATGAAAAGGCCTGTTCTAACGTTCATAAGTGGTATTCAATGGGGCTTGTTTGAACCAACTGTATCGCATGATACATTGTTTTGACCTTCTTTTTTTTAGTGAAGTTTATTCTTTCAAATCATGAAATGCAAATCCATATGATTTTTCGTAGTATTCATTAATTTCTATGCTATCAGTTGTCATCATAGCTTCGAATATTTCATTCATCTTATGAGTTTGATGCTCATAGGAAGTACTTGAATATTTCAAGTAAAACCTAACAATGTTGGCAAAAATAGCAAAAATAGTCCACAACTCTAATGAAAAACAGCGAAAACAGTAATTTATTGTAAAATCTGAGGGAAACACTTGAAATTCACTAGTAGAAGAAGACAAACAATAAGATACAATTGATCTTCTATTCGAGAGGAGGATCGATCTCCCCCAAATCTCTAGACGCTGCTAGAGCCCAAAGGAAAACCTAAATCTAAGTGATCTTAAATTTCAGCCAAATTCAAGATGCCCTAACCCTGGAAAAACAAACTATTTAATACATACAAATCAAAAGGAAATCTCTAAACAGTCCCTACATTCAAATTTCCCTCTAATCCCTCAAAATTCCTTCCAAAACTGTTCTTTGGAACCGGTCAGCTTGTGCGGCTTGTACAGGAGGCGGAATCTCTGCCTCAGGTCGCAAGAGTCGGTCCCGTGTAGACCGGTTGAACCGGTCCAATGGACCGATCTAACAATACTCCCCTCCCAAAGATCCACCTTGTCCGCAAGGTAGAAAGACAACACCCTCCTCCATTCTTCTTCACAAACGTTAAGAACCTGAAGAGTTCGGTCCTTACACATGTGCCTCGGCATATACCTCTCATCACATCTAAAACATATCCCCTTCGCTCTCTTCTCATGTAATTCTGTTTCTGTGAGCTTCTTGAAGTTGTCTCCAGGTCTTCCTCCGACAGTCTTCTCCTTCAAAGTCTCCCTAAGAGTACCCGGTGTTGGCTCCTTGGGTGAAAGGTGGTGGTCATCATGTACGAGCCTCCCGAACAGCCTCCTGATCCTTTTTTCAGGTGCCTCTGATCCTCCACCAACTGAGCTAGCTTCATAGACTCTCCCAAGTCCCGATGTCTCATAACTCTGACTGCTGCACGGATCTTTGATTTTAATCCCTTCATAAAGTTCCCCTCCATTACAAACTCTGGAAGCCGATCCAATCGGCTAGCAAGGTACTCAAATTGCTCACGATACTCCATACCTGCCCCTTCCTTCATCAAAGCGAAGAACTGCTAGCAGAAGTCCCCTCCCCTGCTGGTTTGGAAACATTCCAACAGGCAGTCCTTAAACTCCATCCAGGTCCTTAGTGGTCGCCTTGTATCCCTCCACTGGTACTATGCTAAAGCTTTCCTGTCCAAGCACATCCTGGCTATCATCAGTCTCTCCCCCTCCGTCAACCTGTTGATGGTGAAGTACCTTTTCACCTTGTAGATCCACCCATGGGCATCATCTCCCTAAAAAATAGGCATCTTCAGTTTCCTCACCCTCGGATCGCCTCCGTTCCCTCTGTTCCCTCCATAATTTCTCATTCCCCAAGGGGGTGATTCCCCCTAAGTGCTCAATCATCCCTTCTACGTTCATACCCAAACCTTTCATCAAATTCCCACATTCTCCTCTCAAATTCAGCACCCCTTGGATCATAAAAAACTCTTCCCCTTTCAAATTCAGCCCCCTTTGATCATAATTACCCATTTCTCTTTCCAATCTTGCCCATCTCCTATCCAAATAAGCACATCTTCATTCCTGCCCGACCTCCTCATGCCTCACCCTCTGTCCGGCTCCTCCCTAGAAATAAGCTCTAGGAAAGGTATTTTCTCTTCTCCCTTTTGAGTCTCCACCTCCTGATATCCCCTTTGCCTGATTGGCTTAGGGTTTTTCCCATCTCCATGGTTGTCGGCGCCTTTCCTCACCTTCGACGATGATATTTTGGTTTGGCCCTCGAGCACTTTCTTCAACATCTCCTCCAAGATGAAAAATTTCGAATCAAACTTATCATGGCTGGCCGAAACATTTTTTTTTTAATATGAAACTTGAGTTTGAAGATATGAAATTTCATATTTCATTTGTCCAATCTCCACTTCGAGGCATTCCTCCAACGCATCCATTTTGATGGTTGTTATTGATGCTCGGATTTTTTTACAAAATAAAAATCTGGACTTCGATCTTCAAAAACAGTAATTTTCTTCTTCGAAATCCCAAGAACAGCTGCTGAAATTCATCAAAACAGCCCACAAAGGGTCCCAAAAACAGCTCTAATTTGATAGGAAGTACTTGAATATTTCAAGTAAAACCTAACACTGTTGATAAAAACAGCGAAAACAGTCCACAACTCCCATGGAAAACAACAAAAACAGTAATTTTATTGAAAAATCTGAGGGAAAACACTTGAAATTCACTAGTAGAAGAAGAAAAACAACAAGATACAATTAATTCTCTATTGGAGAGGAGGATCGATCTCTCCCAAATCTCTAGATGCCGCTAGAGCCCCAAGGAAAACGTAAATCTAAGAGATCTTAAATTTTAGCCAAATTTAAGATGCCCTAACCCTTGGAAAACAAACTATTTAATGCATACAAATCAAAAGGAAATCCCTAAACAGTCCCCACTTTCAAATTTCCCTCTCAAATCTCTCAAAATTACTTCCAAAACTACTCTTTGGAACCGGTCGGCTTGTGCAGCTTGTACAAAAGGCGGAACCTCCATCTTAGTTTGCAAGAGCCGGTCCCATGTGGACCTGTTGGATCGATCCAGTGGACCGGTCTAATAGACGCCAGGCAAAATCATCACCATTTGCAAAATTTCTTGAATTTTGATTCCGAACAACTTTTCACAATTAGAAGATAATGTCTAAATCTGTCTTTTTTGGATCATTATAATTACGGTACCATCCATATAGATGAACGGCTGATAAGTAGTTTAGAAAGTTAGCCTCATGTAGTTATGTTGGGTTTGGTAACTACCGTTTATGCATTAGTTGTGGTTTAGTTTCACAAATGAATGTTTGATTGACCTAGATTCCTCGATGATCCAAGTTCAAGGCTCATGTAATAAGAAAACATTAGATTGATCTTCTGCTTGTGTGCTTCTCACTATCGGACAGAAGCTTGTATGTAGCTGTTTTCTTGCCACTTCTGCTTTCTAGTAATCTGAAAATAAATTATTCCGTAGACTTCTGTCTTCAATCTTATCTAGACATTGTATATAGTTCAGGTGCAATAATTGTGTTATGGGTATGACAACTTTTCTCGATAGAAAGATCGTCTTGATAACTCTTTCTTCAGTTGTGGTTATTCTTATAATATCTGCTTGAGCGTATTCCCTGTATGATAATGTTCATTTCAGATTATTATTTTAAACCTTTGGTGCTAATATTTACTGTAAATGGATTGGTATATCAACAACTGTAAATCTTAGCATGTAGGATGCATGCTTGCAACATGCGGCATCTTCTATATCACATGCATTGGCTTTTATGTTATCTAAGTTTGCTGTTTGATTGTAAATCACTAGTTCTTCAATAAATAGAGTGCCAGATTCATTATGCATTGTTTATCCACAAAACTAAATTACAGCTAGAGTATCTGTTTCTTTTGCCTTTTTTTTTTTTATTTGTTAAGTTTTGGCTTGCTGTATTCTGAATTTCGGTGAAAGAACAAAAATATATTTATTTAACACAACTATAGAATCTTAATACTGCATGATAAAATGTTTATATTAAATGTTATATCATTTATTAGTCATTTTACACACTCAAACTGTCCTCCTCTAATATTAATTTCGTCTTTTTCAGGAATCAAAGGACATTTCGGCCCAAAAAGAGTGCACCGTCTGGTAGTAAGGTAAGAAATTTAATTTCTTGTTTGAAAATGCAAATATTATTAATTCATGTTCACCTTTTTTTTCTTGAAAATTTTTAATTTACTATTATTTCTTTTTTTGGCATAGATTGTGTACTTCAAAGAAATATATGATCTCTAATGTCAATTCTTTAAGCCAAATGTAAACCACTTGCATTCAATTTGTTATGAGCATGTTGTGAATATAGTTCCATTATCCATCATTTGATGATTGACAAAAGGGAACCTGACCACGTGGACAAAGCATTTATGAATCAGAATAATACGGACATTTGATGTTTAACCTCAAACTCTGCAAATAAAATATGACCTTCATATGGAATATATGAGATGCACTTATCTCATTTATTTTATTTATCTGAAAGCTACATTCTTCGATTAGTATCCTATTATCTGATTATTTAATATTTTGATTGCAGGGTGCACAACTTCGAAAGCATATTGATGCTACTCTAGGTAGTGGAAACTTGAGGGAAGCTGTAAGGCTTCCCCCTGGGGAGGATGCTAATGAGTGGCTTGCAGTTAACAGTAATAATATTTATCTTCATTTAAGATATATTAGCTTCCTTCAAGCAGTAATTTCATTATGTTATTGTTCAAACTTTGAAAGCTCAATTCCGAAAAAGCATATGGGAATCTTTGGAATCTTGATGCTTAAATGCAGTTGAGCTCTTTTGTTGATTTGTGTCTGAATAGTTTGTTCCTTGCACAGAATAGTAGCGGAATGTGAATTCTGAAAAAAATTATGTTTCCTTTTAACATATATTTTGAATTATTATGAAACTAAGGCCGTCTTTTTTATTGCTTTTCAGCTGTTGATTTCTTCAACCAGGTGAATCTTCTATATGGCACGCTTACTGAGTTTTGCACACCTGAGAACTGTCCTACAATGACTGCAGGGCCAAAGTATGCCTCAAGCGTTTTTTGTTATCTGTATTTCCCATTAGAAGTACCTATTCAACATATGCAAAGTGCATATTAAACTATAGTTTCATCATTATATTAAAAATTTGTTGTATTAACATAAAGTTTTCATTCTGTTTATTAACCTATAGTTTCATCATTCTGTTTATTAACCTACAGTTTCATCATTCTATTAAACATATGCATGTTCTTGTTTTCGTCGTTGCAAAAAGCTATGTGAAAGATGTGATTTTATCAGCCTAATAAACACTTAATTTCTTCGTCCTTGATTATAGCAGAATTAGTTTGCTATTTATGAAGCCAAGCCTGTTGTGTTACCTGCACCTGTCATACATCAATAGTTCCACTAACTTGCCTGCATGAGTGAGAGAGACAAGTTATAGAATTGCTACTGTGCAATTGTTGTGTCTGATTAGTTGGTATGATAAAATGTATATGAGCTGCATACTGTTGGAGCATATATAATCTTGAGCAGAACATAAGTTTAGCTTATCTTTGGTAAAACTAGATTAAACTGCAATCTGTGAGCAGAATATTGTGTTGGCTGCCTGTCTAATTGTTTAAACTTCACATATGATTTCCACATTAGGAAGATGATGACTCGTGATTTACCATCATACCGATGTGTTGTGACTTGAGTTATTATCCGTGTATCCTGTATATTTTCTATGTGCTGTGGAGCTTCTAATGAGAAGGAAATATATTGTGCAGGTATGAATACAGGTGGGCAGATGGTGTACAAATAAAAAAACCCATTGAAGTTTCTGCACCTAAATATGTTGAGTATCTTATGGATTGGATTGAAGCTCAACTTGATGATGAATCTATATTCCCTCAAAAGCTTGGTGATAAGCTGGATATTCTATACCTGAAAACAACTGTGTTTATTCTAATTTCTTACCTTCACTCGGTTTACTTTCAGGAACGCCTTTTCCTCACAACTTCAAGGATGTTGTGAAAACAATTTTTAAACGTCTGTTCCGAGTTTATGCACATATATACCACTCCCATTTCCAGAAGATAGTGAGTCTCAAGGAAGAGGCGCATCTCAACACGTGCTTCAAACATTTTATTCTGTTTACATATGTAAGCTAGTATTGATTCTTGCAATGATAAGTTTTTCTTGTTCCGTCTTATATATAATTTTCTTCAGTTACCCTGTTTTCTTCCAGCCTCTTATTTATGGGATCTTAGTTGATGACATGCAATGCAATTTAGATAATCGAATGAGCAATTGCTAGGACTAAAACCGTTAAAACTCATGAAGTACAAAAGCACGAGCTGCAGCTTTTGCTTAATTTATGGATTTATGGTAGGGAAATTCATTTATCGTGGATGAAAAAAAATCTTTTATGTTTTACCACTGAATGGATCTTCAATCTCTGCCAAATAGTCTATTAATCTATTATTACGCACGGTTCTGGTGTACTTCATGTTATAATTTTCATAGCTTGTGCTTTTCCATTCCATCACGATTTCGCCAAGATTGGTAAACACATACAAAAAGAAGAATCAATTTAGTCTCCTATAAGTTGAATCTTCAAGGAATCCACTGAGTATCAAGGATATTTTTGTCCCCTGATCATTTCTCTTTAATTTACACTGACTAGGGTCATGATTAGAACATGAGATATTATCATGGGGGTTGTCTTAGGGTGTGGAGTTTCTATATAACATGCAATGCGAAAAATCATGTTTTAAACATGCAAAATTTGCAGAACACAAACTATTAAACCAAAATAACTATGGATTTCCTTGGATGAAATATGGAAAATGATAGAAATCAATTTAGACAAAACATTTGCTGGTCTCCTACTAGAAATTAACAATCAAACATGCCACACATGATGAAAATTCGAGCAATCAATAGATATCCATATTGTAGCATATCTGACTAAACATAATCTTTTTTTTTTAACCAAGAATGAAAAAGCATTGAAGAAGAAGAGATAGGGAAAGAAAAACAATGAAGGGAAATTATATATATATATATAGCTTAGGGCTTTACGAGGATATAATATGAATTCAAGCTTACACTTTACTAAGGATCAAATTCATGGAATGAAAGAGAAGTCCTCACCTTCGTAGTAATAGTTTCATTCATGCCATCCAGTATCTTACGTGACTGAGAATTCCATATCCATGGATAGAAAGAATACCAAACTACTAACAAGCTACTAATAATTTGCTAACAAGTTTTTAACAAACTGTTAACATACTAATAATAAATTCCTAATAATTTGGTAACAGTTTAAATGTCATAATAGGATTAATCCAATAAAATAATGAAATATAAGACATAAATAATTCTCATTTCTAAGATTTTATCTTAGGCTTTGAGCAATGAGAATTGGAAGAATGCTATAACCAATGCAATGGAGGCACTTGAAAAAAAAAAGTCAAAAACTTGTAGAATTACCCAAAAAGAAGAAACTTATTTGATGCAGTTGAGTGTTCAAAGTGAAATATTCCTATGGTTTATTAAGAATGTTTAAAGCAATATTAGTTGCAAATGCTATGCTTATACATATGAAATAGGTTATCTTGAGATATTTGCTCTTGTTGCAAAGATGAGCACAACAAGAGTTTTACCATCTCTAGCCTTCAACCTCGGGTTTAAATTGCATAATTTGATGTGAAAAATGTCTTCTTACATGGGACTTTGATGAAGAAGCTTATATAGAGATCCCTCCCAGATTTGATAGAAACATATCAAAAGTGTGCAGACTTATTAAGGCCTTACATGAGTTAAAGCAATCTCCAAGGGCATGCTTTTGAATTTTTGCTATAGTAATGCTTAACCTGGAATACAAACACGGTCTATTGGAGAGTGATTGTATTGTTAGTCTATTGGAGAGAGAAAGCTGACAAAAAGGTCTAGTAAAAGAATTCTAGATTAAAGAACTTGGAATATTAAAATACTTTCTTGTAGTAGGGGTCAACAAGTAATATTTATATCACAGCAAAAATATATAATGTATTTATTGATGGAGATTAGAAAATTGGAATGAAGACCTATTGACATTCTTACATAACCAAACCATAAACTTGACGATACTCTGGAAAAATCAACTGTTGATGAGGCTTTCTATCAGATACTGGTAGGATAACTTATTTGCTTATCCCAAACAACTTTGATTATTGCCTATGTCATCAATGTGGTGAGCCAATTCATGCGCAATCCCAAGGAGGCATAACTTAGAGCAGTAAATTAGATTCTACAGTACATGAATGGTACATCGGACAAATGGATTTATTCATAAGAGTATTGAAGCTAATTCTTGAAGCTTTTATATTTGCAGACTATGCAAGATCTATGATTGATAAGAAGATCAACCTCTGGTATTGTGCTTTCTTAGGAGGAAAATCTTGTAATTTGGAGTAGGTAACAAAATTTTGTGGCAAGGTCCAATACTAAAGTAGAATTCAAATCTATGGCTTTTATAATTTGTGAATTATTATGATGAAATATTACTTTGAAACATTTGAAGATAAAATGAGAATGTTTGATGGGAATCAACTGGGACTATAGATCAATTATTAATTTTTTGCATAACCCTGTTTAATATAACTGTGAGGATGATGGACATTTTTAAAAGGAGAAACTAGGTAGTGGATTGATATGTACATTATTTGTTATTATTGGAAATCAATTGGCAGATTTGCTAGCAAGGATTATCAGGGACTAGTTGGCAAGTGGATGATATTCATTCATCACCTTGAGGGGAGTGTGTGAAATCCAGCCTGTCTCTATTGTCCTTGCTTGTTTCCCCAACCAACAACTCATAAATGGCATTATAATAACATCAATTACAAAATTCCAGCCTGTCCTTGCTTCCCTGGTTTATATTCCCAATCATAGCTTATAGTATGTTATGTTAATAATTACTTTTTTTTTTGGGAATTGCTAGATACATGGCAGGTATCTTGATAGACTGCTCCTATGGTTCTTTGGTTTCCATACAAAGAATTCTATCTATAGAAAGTTTTCATATTGTTAAAATTTTGCTTTAACTGTGTACATGTCCAAATAAGGAATAGATAATGCAATTTGAACTTGATCATTGCTATATGAATTCCCATGTATCCTATGAAATAAAGTTAAGAAATTTCCTTGCAATTTGTTACAGAAAGAAGTCCGATTAGCATATACAAATTCAAGGTTTTGTTGTTGGGTGGCTCCAAGAATCATTCCTGGGAAAAAATCACATCGACCTAGACAAAAATAAATATATGGTCGTGGTTTTAGAAAAAGAACGTGTACTTACGATAGCAAAATAAAACCAAGGCATTTCTTTTGATAAGAATAGAGTTGGAACATGAATCACCTGTAGCATCGTATAAGATTTCTACAATTGATAGTCATTATCATGATCTAAGTTGTTGGAAGATAGTGATTCATGGTCTTCATAATTTTCTCAACCCAACTGTGCAGTGAAAAATTATGCCCCATGTATTAGCAAAAGCTTATGGATTTGAAACAAATGATGATGCATCTTGTTGGATTGGCCCAACTCCACCCATCCTCCCTAGCTTTATCTTGAAAGATTATTGCATTTAATCTTCTTGAAAAATCTAGATCTTTACATTTCGCTTTTGAAAATCCTAGGCTATGTAAAAATGCTTTTGATTCCAGTGAATTTCAAATTATTATTTTCTAGTCAATTTGATATCACAGTACAACTGTACTGTGATGTCGGATTGATTCCAAAATAGGTTGCTATTAGACCCGGGTTATTTCATGATTTCATATCATGGGTAATTTAAGTAAAAATGAGAGATTGACAATAATAAAGAAGATGATAGTCATTATCATGATCTAAGAAAAAAAAGTAGCAGCTCCATGTGAGGATAAAATCCCCAAAACATGTCAAAGCTTAGAAGGACATGCAAGTATCCAAGAGGACTGCAAAAAGCCAACACAAGAGCTAAGGAGTACCCAAGAGGGTCATCTTTGCACCAAAGAGGACCGAAGTGATATTATGATGAAAAAGGAAGCTAATCGATTAGAGTATAATGAGGTGATAAAGAGCCATTATGAAACTATAACAATTCCAATTGAGCAACAAGATAATAAGATGTTGCCAATCTAGGCAAAAAAAAAATTAGAATTCTCACTAATCAACTTTTTAATTGTGAAATTTCAAAGTAGCCAAGATCCAAGAGGATTTTTGGAGCATTGAGGAGTGCATATAATGATTACCACTAAATTAGAGCGGTAACTTTCCACAATGGGCTATTCACACTTGATGTTGGGCTACAACACATTGCCATAAGGGTATGTATGTATCACTTTAACTCCATTTTAAGTGGACCAAACCTCATTTGTTGGTAGTATGAGTTAGCCTTTCCATGTGGATGCCTAATCATGGAATTTGGGCTGAGTTCATCCTTAATAGTGGCTACTACTACTATTATTACTACTACTAATGGGTCATCTATAATAACAATGATTACATCAATGTGCGTTGGATTCTCAAATGGTCCAACTACATTTTTTTTCATCTATTGACTGTACATTTTTTGTATTTCCTATATCCTTGGAGGGTCAACTATAAAATTTTATTTACTTTTATCATTTGTAGGGACAAATGAGTTTGTAGGGGAGAAACTATGATCCAAATTGCTTTCAAAGCTTAAATTCAGCCTAATTGGAATATAATCGAATAAGCAAGTAAAAATGGGGTGCACTCATCAAATTAAGGCCAATAAAATCATACAAGCTTGAGATAAGCTATGAGACCTATGGTATTAAGATATGACCTTAAGTCAATTAAATCTGTTTAGAATAAGAATTTTAGATATGATTTTCATCCAAAATGGCAAGGAGGCTGAAAATTCGTGTTTATGTTGGGTTTGAATGATTTAAAATACAAGAACTATAGATGACTTTCGACCATCATCCAAGTAGGTTTAGATAAGCTAATTAACTGCAAAAATCATGTTCATATATGACTCGCAACAGTTAGATAAAACTACCCATAAATCTTTAGAAGGATCATCATGCCCTTTTATATAAAAAAACACTAATGAACTAATAACCAATTTGCTATATTTAGGCGCTTTATTTATTGAATATGATTTGTTTTACTGACATTGCAGTTAGCATACATTATATTCTTGCAGGTAAGTACAAAATGCAAAGAAAAAAAAAATCCCCATAATAGATCTTCTTTTTCCCTGAAATGAAATATGGATTTGTAATATTTGATTTGATATTTACTTAGTTGGATGGGAAGATAAATGGTCTGATAGGTTGTATATATGATGCAGGAGTTTGGCCTGATTGACAAGAAAGAACTAGCCCCACTTCAGGAGCTTATAGAATCGATTATTGTTCCTTACTAATGCTTAAACCTGTAAATGCTATTTACGCAATAATTTGCGGGTTTGTTATTGAGACTAATCTCCAGAATTTGTGCTTTGGCTTTAATTTCTAGTGTGTAACATTTTGCATTATCGCTAATTGGGTATGTTAATCAACTTCAAACTTGCTGGCCATAGTAGATAGTACACATGAACCTCTCTTTTTCTTCTCTTGGTTCCGACCAATAGTAATGATTTTGTTATATTTTATCCATTTTTAATTTTCAAGATCTCTTATTATTATTATTATTATTATTTATTTTATAATTATTTTTTAAAATAATTTGTTAGTATAATAATTTCTTAAATTAAATTTATTTTAAAAAATGATAAAAAAAATTATTTTAAATAAAACCTAAGAACAGTGTTAGACTATTGTAGCGTCTTAAAAAAAAAAAAAAAGAAAGGTTATATATATGTATCAATAACAAATAAATCGAATAAAACAAAATTACTATACATCTAAATACACCCATATAACAAATTTCATCCAAGAAAGACGACAAAGATGATGCTCATTCACATGGTCAAAATATTACAGAACCTACGAATTTAAAGCTTCGTTTGGGACGGCTTTTTTACTGCTTATATTAATTTTTTTTATAAAAATTAAAATTTTTATACTAGAAAACTCATTTAAAAAATAATAAAAATGCCATCCCAAACGGAGCCTAAGCCTTATTTGAGATAATTTTTTTGTTCCTTTTTAAAACAACTTCGTAATTTAAAAATCAAAATTTTTATATTAAAAAACTAATTTAAAAATTACTAAAAAAACCATCACAAATGAAACCTTATATGCCTTCGAAGCAAACCTTTATCTATTGGAGAGTCCCCTAATAGTGGCAAATATAAAATTTATAAAAAGAAAAAAGTCATAATATTTTATTCAAATTTGATAAGAAAATATTTTATATTAGTAAATGCACTTTGAGATTAAGAATCTGCATTGGGGGCAGCTGCCCATCTAAAAGTTAACAACAAAATTAGTGCAAATAATTATATTTTTTTTTTCTTTAAAAAAATTAAAAAAAAAAAACAAAATTTCACAACTAACATTAGTAGAAGCATATTTGACCGTTAAAAACTCATTATAATCATTTCTAAAACAACAACAACAAAAAATTATAACCAATTACAACTGTAGCACACCAATCTGAAAATAAAAATTAAAAAAAATATATCTTAAAAAATATAGAACTAATCAATAAAAAATTATATCATATTCATCTCAAAATAAATTCAATTATCATAAAACTCATCAAAATCAATTTCGAATTATAATATCTGACCCAATATATCAAAATAAGCTATTTCTAATAAAAAAAAAAAAGATATTACAAGGACAAAATATTAGAAATAATCAGCATTTGGCTTATGACAAACATCTTTGAATTGTAAAACTGGTAAATTATTACAGAAACTCAGCCTACAGATAACCATGAACTATATACACATTAGCTGAGGATTTTATCATTATTAGTTCAAATAAGTGATGTAACATTAAAATTGGGTGAATTGCACAAACGTAATGCAAGCGTTTTACAGAAGGAAAAAGTGGCGTCTAATGAAAAATTGCTACAAAAGACATCCTATTCTTATAATCTATATAATAGTAAAATTATAATTTAACCAAAAATTTGCAAACATTAATAGAATTGGATATTTCAAACAGGCCCATTGTAAAATAAGAGTTGTTACCCTGAGGCTTCTGCAGCAGCACCACCCTTATACTCTCTTTGCTCCTCTTTAGCAAACTCTTCAATTAACACGCGTTGCCTATCTGTGAGGTTACTGCATTGGAAAAATAAAGCAGATCTTAGAAGTTCAATATCGTTTTATTTATTTTGTTTTATTATTATTTTTGCTCAATCCAAAATTCTCAAAACCTTAGTAACGAGTCCCACAAATATTCAATATCGCTTGTTTACTTTAGCAAAAGATAATATTATCAGAGGCTTACTTTTCTTTTCCAACAGGCTAAAAGGGAAGAGGCATAGGAGAAAAACTTACACAGGTATTGTAACGTTAAAATGGACGTATTGGTCTCCATAGAATGATGAGTTCCTTGTCTTCATTCCTGCAGGAGAAGCAAAATGAAGTGATCATTCAATATGACAACGATAGTCAAATATATATATATATTATCACAATTCAGCTCTTTATATATGATAAAGGTGATGTTTACAGCAATTTTTTGTATGCATGAGTGGATTGAGAAAGAAGAGCATTACCTTTTCCTTTTAAAACAACCTTCTGGCCTGGTTGCGTGCCTGGTCTCACCTGAGGGGTAAAAGGAATTCAAATGTCACAGGAAAAGAATATATAAATCCAAAATGAATTGTCGTAAGGCTATAAGAATCCTTAGGCACGCTCAATGAAAACCGTAAAACAATTTGAAAAGGTAATGAAAAAAAAAAAAACTTTAAACAAACCTTAAGAACAACATCCCCTGTAAGAGTTGGAACATGAATAGTACCACCTAATATAGCCTGTAAGTATAGAAAGAATAAAATGTTAAGCTTTACAGTTAAAAAAACAATAGACTAGAGTGATGCGTACTTCATCGTCAATACTAAGGACAATTTGATAGTGACGCATGTAAAGAAAGTTTTAGCAAGTCAAAATCAGCATTTCTTCAGATTGAAATTTTGTCTAACAAGAATGAAATACAAACCTTGAATAAAGCAAAGTAAATATGAAATATTGTGGCAATGAAAGAATTAAATGTAACTATAATGTGTATTGAGCCAAAAAAAAAAACAGGCGAAATGTAAATGTTTTGCACAACACTGTTTATGATATGTACTTAAAATACATGATTTCCACAGCATCACATACCTGAGTGATACTTAGAACAGCATCAACATGGATATCAGATTTCTCTCTGCGGAAAACAGGATCATGCCGGACCTACAATAGGATTTTTTTTTTAATATTCTGCACAGATCATCATTATTAGGACAAAAAATGGAACTCACTACCTTTATAGTAACATAGAGATCACCAGGTTTATTTCCTTCAGGATCTGCACCACCACTGCCATAGACCCTTATAGTATCATCATCATCCACACCTGAGGGTAGCATGAAGAGTATGCGCTTTAGTACAAAAGGAAAATTAAAAGTAACTCCAGTAAGAAATTCAGGAATCGACACCATAAAGCCAAATACAATCATACACACCAGGCATGACATCCAGTTTTACTGATTTTGTTCCCCTGAAGACTTTATTACCCTTGCATGATTGGCAAAGGTTCTACCAACAAACGGTAAGATCGAAGAATTTAGGTTAACATAAATATTCTTCAAAAACAGAGCAAATGCTAGTCCCAATAGAAATTTATGCACGAAAAAATTTTATACCTTCACGGTTTTCCCGGAACCACCACATTTTGAACACGTGGTTTGCATCCTAAAGGGGCCACTTTGCATGAAAATCTGTTACAAACTTACAATGTTCAAAATAAGAGAAAGTTATTATATATATATATATATATATATACCAAAAATACAAAGTTTTAAGTTAGAGAGTGTTCATATTGTTAGCTGACCGTTCCCACGCCTTTGCAAGTTCTGCAAGTCTCAGGCTTGGTACCAGGAGGTACACCACTCCCACCTACAAAAACACAAGGCGAAAATATTTCATTATTTGGTTAAAATTTTAAAAATTAAGTTAGCCTACTTTTTCCATAAAGCACATGCCACTTTTCCAAGTAACAATCAACATACCGCAAGCCTCACAAGGGAGGGAAGTTTGAAATGTCAATGTTTTAGTGCACCCATGGACTGCTTCCATAAAAGATATCTCAAGAGAGACCTAGATAGATAGAAATAAATTAGTTCAACTTTCACACCTAAGAGATGGATCTAAATAGATAGTATGCTTAGCAAGTTGTTCATGGAGAAGAACCCACCTTGACATCTTGTCCACCAAATTCTCTATCTCTGAAAATGTTCTTGAAGAACTGTAAGCCCAGTAACAGAAAGAGGCAAGTTAAGAATGGAGGCTTAAGATGAAAAACATATTAATACATTTCACATTAGCATCTGAATTAAAAACCCATCTTACTTATAGTACTCGTGTGTGTCTATATATATATATATATATAAACCTGTAAGGTGATCTTACATTTTGTATTTATATACAAAAAACCTATAAGGTGGAGCAAAATTTTCTTTCCTATTATGGCCTCTTCTTTAACATTAATATCAAGAATCCTCATGCTAAGAAAGCCCTCAAAGCCCTGTCAGCTTCCCATTCCATCGATATAATGAGGGAAGAAATGGCACTATCTTTTCAGGTATTAAGTTCAAAGACAAAGGTCAGGCACATAGTAGAAAGAAAAAGGGCCACAAATTGATGTTCCCAAATTTGAGTCACCATTTTCTGTGACCTGGACTAAAATAAGGACAAAAGGGAGCTGCATGGTCGTAGGTTCCATGTCCAAAAACCACATTTTTCATTTTCATCCTTGTTTTTTATTAATGAAACATAGTAGCAAATCATCTCTTTTCATGAGTGTATCTAAAGAGTTGTTTCCTTTTACTTTCATGAGTATTATAGAAGATTACACTAGCATATCTACCTTGTTTTAAATTCTCTTGGGTTGTGTTCTCTCTTTTACCAAATTCTATTTTGCACCTCTACTCATCATTTGTCTGTATCATAAAGATGCAACAGATGGATAATGGTAAGAGTTTATCATGACCTCGATGAACAGTGGATAAAAATAAAACCAACACATGTAATGGTTCTACAAGTAAGAAAAAAGAAATTTTGTGGGGATAATGAATTCGAAATGGAGAAGCACCACCAAATAGTATAAGATACTCGATTAATTAAAAAACAAAAGGTGGAACCATATCGCCCAAAAATTCCTATGAACAAGGATGTGAATCATTACAAAGCGAATGTGAATCATTGTATTCACAACAAAGCTAGTATCAATAAGAAGACGGTGTTTCATTTAGCAACCCCATTTTGTTAAGATGCATATAAACATGATAATTGCCGGATAATAACATTCTCAGCCTACATGCGAAAAAAATTGCAAGAATTCAAAAGTATCAGTGACAACAGTTTTATTTGAATGAAAAATTCCACTTTTTCTTTCTTGATAACAAAGTTTGAGTACAAAGAATATTTTTTACTAAAATTTCAACAAAACAGAATAATGAAAACACAAACGAGTCCATATAAGACTTTGTCCCTAGCCATCTAAATGAATCACGTGAAAAGGTGTACTACTATGAACGGAGGATGACACGGCAATGGTATCATATTCACAATCTTCACATTCAAACTTTGAGACAAATGATGGAGCATGAGTGAAACTACAAAGATGGTGAGGTGGAAAATGACCCAGATGATAGTGTCATTAATAAGAGAAAATAAAGGATAAAATAGTAAGGGCTAAATCAATAAAATAATAAAAACCTCCAAATTTAACACATCCACCAATTGTCTTCTTCTTAAGGTCCCAAAGAGCCCAATAAGAGGGATAAAAGGCTATCAAACAAGTGTGAGATTTTATGAGTCAATGTACAGACAATAGATTTGTGAAAAAATTGGAACACCTAAACATTGTGTAATGTTGATGATGGATGCATGAATCTTTTTGCAAAAATTGGAGGAGATCCATCAATAATAATAATATATGGAAAGAATGTAATAGACATGAATAAAAAGTAATCATCGATTATCTATCATATGAGCATAAGCACCAAATCTAAAACACAAGATGCACTCGAATGAGTAGCTGCAACAGAGCAAAGTGAAGAAAAAGCATAAGAGGTTAATTGGCCAGGTGAGAGTACTATAGATGGCGGTCATAGTCTTCTTAAGATATGATAACTGAGCTAGATGGAGTCCCAATGGAGTCGATGGTAATAGATCAAGTGTTGCGGTATGAGCAACAGGAAGCTAAATTATTCTCAATGATGGCCAAATGAATGGTTTGTCCTTTAACAGTATTGATAAAGCGGGAAAGAGTTGAAGCACGAACAAATAAGGAGAAAGCAGGGAATATTTTAAGGATAGTGGAATCTTCCATTAATTGAGCTTGAACAAGTTGTGGTAATGCATGAGAATGGGTTGAGAAATTCCATTCTTTTCCACTTAGTTGGATTTATGAAATGGCAATATTAAGAAGTTTGTTTTATATGTTGTGTCATTCATGCATATATTTTTCATCCTGGTGTAAGGAAAATAAATAGGAGTTTAAAGTTTGTGCCGAGAGATGTTTCCCTTACTCTTTAAGTAGGTGGAACAATCACAAGCATAGATGGGATAACAAAGACGGTCAAAGAGAGAGAGAGAGAAGAGGGGTGGCATCTCTAGTGAAATTACCCAACCTTGATGTCATGTTGAAAGAGAGAGCTTAGAGGGTTCGTCTATATATAATAAAGGATTATGTACATGTTATGAAACGTAAACAGATAAATCTAATTTACCCCAAAAAATGAAAAACTTTTCTATCTTAGCATTTTCCTATGACAAAAGGGTATATATATGATCAAACAATACAATTACAAACGATCAACAATTAGCATGCAATACAAGCAATCTCAAGACTGCTAAAGCTAATTAAAAGAGTTCAAACGACTATCTCATATGATGTTATGATAACTCAAGGCATTGTTAGAATACCATTGGCCAAATTTTTAAATAGATTAAGATTGTTTGATTACCACCTAAATAAATAATTTAAACTGAACTTGAAAAAGGTTTTCTTTCCATGCACAGTAAAGCATTAGAAATAACCCAAGCTCAAAGGTAAATGTTTGCTGAGCAGTGGAAAAGTTATGGCAACAGAAAGCTGCACAAGATGTTGATCAATGACAAAAAGACAAGAAATATCATGAGAATTCACATACATCGTTCATTCCACCACCAGAAAAGAAATCATCAAATGGGCTCCCAAATCCAGCACCTCCAAACGGCCCACCAGGACCTCCTCCAGAGGCAGCTTGTTCAAAAGCATCAGGACCAACCTGGTCAAGTGTCCCTTACATACATCAGCAACCAGAAACAAAAACAATAATGAATAGTCCAATAAATCAAAAAATAATGAAAGATTAGCAATACTAAGATCTTATCCAGTGCCCATTATGAAGAGATGGATAAGAACGAGGGATGAAATAGAGATGAATCAAAATTTTTTACAAAACTTCATGAAAATTAGAGAAGGAAAACTGCATAAAGAAAAACAAAATGTAGTAAGCTCAAAGAACTATAGAACAATCTGCTATAGTAGATTCAAGGGTAATGAATTATATGGAGCCCTCATTTAGTAGCATTGTAGCAATTAAGAGTTTTAGAATACAAAAAATGAATCATACTATTATAATTCAAATTCTTGACATATATATATCTTTACAATAAATTAACCATCTCAAATAATGGATCTATAGATTTTTTACCAAAATAGAATTTTGCTAAACTGTGATGAAAACATCAATAACTACAACTAGAATGCATCGTGAAAGTTTTAGCAATTTATTGTGTATTATCAAAAGAGACCAATCGCAAAAGTCATCAATACTACACTAATCAACGGGCTGAATTGTTTGTCCAGAAATAATAAGGTCATTAAGGACTCGTGCATTTTCTATTACTTTCCTTTATCAAACTTATTTTTAATATAGGTAACAAAAACAGGCTCAAATATCAAATTCTCTAAACTACTAAAACTTTTTTCCAGCAAATATTATGAACACAGAAACAGAATTACATTCAAAATGGTTAAATAGTAAACAGAAAATGAAATCACGAAGACAAATACCTGGTCATAAAGTGATCTCTTTTCATCATCTTTTAGGACCTGCAAAGCAAATCAGAATGCAGGTTCAAGTTACACTAGTCAAATGTTTTGGAAGTTAAATTCTGTTAGAAAAAATTTATCAACTTCATAATCTGAGATACATGGTTGTATCACCTCATAAGCTCGTTGAACCTCTTGAAATTTCTTTTCAGCATCAGCGTCCTCTTTATTTGTATCAGGATGAAGCTTCTTTGCAAGCTAGAAAAAGTAAGAGTATGCTTAGGAGCTAAAAAAAGGTACAATAGGATATAAACTCGTTCATTAGATATTGTAAACATAGCAATGTAAATTGAGGAGGGTAAATTACTATCAAAAAAGTATAACTCTGTATTCCAGAGCTTAAAGTCTCTGATCAGATTGTGCATGCACAACTAAAATTTTTGTTGCAGATTTTCAATATCACAATAAAAAAATTTACCTTTTGTGTGTGTATATATATATATATATATATATATATATATATATTGTTTCAACATAAGAAATATCATAAAAAACAACTATCACATTTATGCAAAAACAAAAGTTTTTGATTTGCATATATTTGTGATTAGATTAGATGCCACAAAATACTAATCAAAATAATAATTGAAGCAAGAAGTGCCTCAATAAAAGTAGTCTCGACTCAAAGCTCACTCTAAACTGACTGATTTAGCACATCTCAGGTTGAACTAATTAGTTTAAAATTAACAATGGAACAAAAAACCATTTAATAAGAGTGGACCTCAATCTGTTTTGTACGGTGAGCAAACCAACACATGTCATTTTAAATTAGATTAAAAAGGCACCCCAAGAGAACAACCCCAAAATGATTGACTGGCTGAGCTTGTGGGCCCCGCTAGTGAGCGCGGCGGGCAAGGAGAGAGAGGGGGCTCAAAGGGGATTAATTACTTACAATAGAAGACCAAAATTTGGAGGGAATTAGGAATGCTTATTTAGGGAAATGGGGTTGATTTGACTGGGAGAGAATTAGGGCGCTTCCTATTCAGGAAGGAGATGTTTATGAAGGTTGTTATTAATTATGGGAGAATTATTTAGGAAAGTTTTATTTACAATTGGGAGAGAATTATTTAGGACAAGAGATCTAATTTAAATTCAAAATCTAAGAGGGGATTATTTAGTGAAAGGGAGGAGGAATCAATGGGGGAATTGTTTAGGAAAGTTTTAATTACAATTGGGAGGGAATTATTTAGGACAAGATATCAAATTTGAATTCAAAATCTAAAAGGGAATTATTTATGAATTTGGGAGGGAATTAGGAGCCTATTTAAGGCTAACTATGTTCTTATTTTGAGGGGAGGTAATTTGTGTTTGTTGTAGTCTTCTTTGAGAGGGCTCTAGCTAGCGGCTAGGGATTTGGAAGAGGCAGATATTCCTCTCCATTTGAAGATTCAACTGTATCTTACTATTTTCTTTCATATATCTAGCAATACAAAAAATTTTGGTGTATTTTTCTTCCTAATTTCTTATTGTCGTTCGCTGATTTTGGAAAAATTGCATCCACTTCCTATCACATAACTACTCTTGTTTTCAAGGATTATACTAAGGAGAATTAGCTAGATAAATTTAATCTAGGAATAAATGGCATTAAGTTAGTACCAATTTAAATTGTATGCAACAAAGATGATGGGAGGGAGGTGCTAAAGAGCTCTATAAGGATTAAAAAGTTGAGGCATGAAATAGCATGGTGTCATGCATATTGGGGGTGGCAATAATCATTAGAGAAGATTATGCATGAAACATCAACATTTATAAGATCAAAGCATAGAAACAAGGATCCAACTAGGCTATAACCTATAAAGAATTGCCAAGTCTTGATTTGGTTGTTTGAAGTAAAGGATTGCATTTGGTAATGCCATGCTATTATTGTGATATGTTTTTTGGATACAAAATAAAAACACTTCTACTCTCTAAGAATTGACCAATCTGGTCAGCATATGTATTACCATGATTCTCAAGACAGTCTTGAAGATTAAACTTACTCAAGAAAAATGCATTTGTGGCCTACTGATAAGCAAAATAAGTTAGCAAACAATTAACGGGAATGCATGATCGCCATTAAAATAAAGAAGGGTTGGGGGCCCTACACAATTCTTCACATTCAAAATGTCACCCTTGAGAGTAACAACGCTTGTAATTAAATAGATTGTAAAAATGTGGCTTAAATTCATGATGTTGAAGATGATTCCACCCCATGATGCTTGATTATACATTTAAAGCCAGCCAATTTCCATGGTTTGCATTTGTAAACCAAGATACAATTATTTATTTAGTCTAAAAGACGCAACAAATAATGCAAGGGTTAGGTTTCATGCTTCGATTCAATTATAAGCAACACAATACATATAATTTGTTTTAGTTTTCATTACAAGGAAGAGGGAGAGAAAGAGAGAGAAGACAGAGATCACCCCATATACTCAGACAGAGATCACCCCATATACTCTATTATACACTTAAAGCCAGCCAATTGACATGGTTTGCATTTGTAAACTGATATACGTTGACTTGTTTATTTAGTCTACAAGAAGTAGCACATAAGGCAGAGGTGAGATTTCATGCTTGAGTTCAGTTTCAAGCAACAAAAATGCATTTTATAGTTTCAGTTTACGTTGAGGGAGGGAGGGAGAGAGAAAGAGAGAGAGAGAGAGAGAGAGAGAGAGAGAGAGAGAGAGAGAGAGAGAGAGAGAGAGAGAGAGAAATGTAAATAAAGAGACACTAATATATCTCAAAGAAAGCATATTTTTATTATCTTGACAATGTATCAATAACCAACTTGAGTGATTATGGAGCCCGTTGAAAATAGTTCACAATCTAAAGCATAGATGTTAAACGACCTTCCACCGAATGAAGCATTATTGAGCTCAATGAAAATTGATAAATTATAGAATATTTACAATGTATTAAGCGCTTTACTTACCCCATAGTACGCCTTCTTAATATCTGAAGCACTTGCACCTTTACTCACTCCAAGAACCTCATAATAATCTCTAGCGGACACCACTTGTGTCCCTACACGTCATTAGAGCCAACATAAGCAATAATTCATTCATCATATCAAAGCAAGAAGTTATCTAAGAACAAAGAAAATTTCACGAGAAATAAGGAACCAAATTATTCTAAAAAAAAATTTAAACATTCACAGAAAAACATGACATACCATGAAAATACCTCTTTTGGAAGCAACGATCAAAAAAACTTGCACACCGATGGCCAATAGCTGACTTACCTGAACCAATCCACAATGTATAGGATTAAGTGCGGCAACTTGTTGGGATAAAAACTTGATGTGAAGCAAAAAAAGGACTTTTTTTTTGCTGGTTCAACGAGAAGTCTACGAGGTGTAATTAAGGTGATTTACTTCATAGGGGTGTTTACTTTCAGAGATTAAATGAGACAATCTGTCCACATTCGCATAAAATTTACCAGCAATTCCCTCGCAGAGAACCAAACAGCCCCTAAAATAAAACAATCATCGAGAAAAAATAATAATTAAGACAGCATGAGGAAATAAAAAAACACACCAGTTTTCTGATTTATATCCGTGAGAATCCTCGACGAAGTACATATCCCCGCGACATGCCACCGCGCTGAGACCCAAATCTACGTCGAGCAGGAAGATAATAATATAAGATTATCTATCCAGCCAATATAAATGAAAACGACCATAACAACCAGAGAAGAAGAAGAGCTCACGGAAGTGGCGGCATCGGACGACTCGCTGGAGAGCATCGAACGAAGGGAACGGCGGGCCAAATATACGGCCAGGTGAGCTCCTTGGAATCGCATGGTCGGATAATTCGCCGTCGATCGGAGGTAGAGTTCTACTGGCTTCGCATTATAACCCGCGAGGAGTTATATGGTTCTCCAGAGATGCTACCTAAGCAGAAAGGAAGCGGGGATCGGGATTTGGGGTTTAGGGCTGGAAGAGTTCGAAAAAATGACTTGCTGTGCTTCTGGAAATTTCTAAATGGGCTTAGTTTTAATTTACAGGGGCGCAAGCAAAGCCCAAGCCTGATTGCCGCCTGCAAAATTGTCAGTTTTTTCCGTTCTAATGGATATATCTATACTATCTATATCTATACTACTATATAAAAGTGGCTTGGGATTTCACCCATAGCAAATCTTGACCTTTTATTTCTAAAGTTTAAATTAATCTACATCGTTCATTTATAACTCTTCAAATTCTTCTAATTTTCACTTCCTCCAAAACATTTATTCACTCATTTATTTATTCACTGTCCTGCTTTTAAAGCCAGTTCACATCACCTCAAAAACAAATATCAAGTAATAATTTCAAACGTCACTGCCAATTCGTATAAAAAACAAATATCAAGTAATAAATTCAAAACGTCACTCCCAAATTAATTCGCACGCAGTTCAAAAACAAAACATTAAAAATTGCTCATACCTAAAAATTAAAGCCAAATCAAATATAAAGTAAATTCAAAACGTCACTACCAATTAATATATAATATTTATTCTATTCTACCTATTCTACCATTTATTATTTGCTCAGGCCTAAAAAGTAAAGCCAAATCAAATATAAAGTAAATTCAAAACGTCACTACCAATTAATATATAATATTTATTCTATTCTACCTATTCTACCATTTACTAAATTAGCACAGCCATCCGTTTCACATTACCGCAGTTTCGCAGTGAAACCCTTGCATTCTGCGGCCGATTGAATTCATGCCCGCCGCAGCCATGCGTTTCAACGCACAACGAACTGGACGGTTACTTCTCCAACTGGCCGTTCAGTGGCTAACATCCCCAAGCGTTTCAGTTCCTCTAGACGCACGAAGGTACCTTGACGAATGGATCACCATTTAAATCCGTAAGCATACATTCTTCTAATCTCTTTCGCTTTCTGCCTCTTTAACTCATTCGTTTTTTTACATCCTTCTTCGTAGCTGGTTGCAAAATTGATACTTAAAGAGTCGCTGCTTCTTCAATTTCGTTAGTCCTGTCGTAGTCGCTGCTTCTTCGGCTTCGTCGCTCATAAGTGTCGTTGGGAGTTCGCTGCGAAGCTAACGATCCCTCTTTGCTCTTGTTTCTATTTGCTCGGAACTTGTTATTTGGAATTTGTTTCTTCGCCTTCGTTGCTCGGAAGTGTCGTTGGGAATTCGCTGCGAAGGTGAGGATCCTTCTTTGTTCTTCTTTCTATTGCTCCGAACCTATTATTCGGAACCTTCATTTAAATCCGTAAGCATACATTCTTCTAATCTCTTTCACTTTCTGCATCTTTAACTCATTCGTTTTTTTACATCCTTCTTCGTAGCTGGTTGCAAAATTGATACTGAAAAAGTAGCTGGTTGCAAAATTGATACTGAAAGAGTCGCTGCTTCTTCACTTTCGTTAGTCCTGTCGGAGTCACTGCTTCTTCGGCTTCGTCGCTCATAAGTGTCATTGTATTCAGATCATCCTTTGCAGGTTTGGGTCGATTGAAAAATATAATATATTTTAGGTTTCTTCTTATATGCTAGTATTTGCATGCATAAATCAAATTGAAACCCTCTTTCTTTGTGTTGTTTCAGTTGATTGTCATTGCCCATTCAATTTCCCCTTCCACACTTGAGAAGCCATGTCTTTATTGTGTTAGTTCATTTTCATGATTTTGAAGTTCAATGTGAGCCATGGGAAAATTCTGAAAGAATTAATTTAATGTACTTATACCATGAATGTAGGTGATAAATACATACATATGAAACATCACAATCCTACTCATTTTATAGTTAGGAGAAGAAGTTTGGGGTGGTGTTTCACATTCATTAATCTCTTTATTATTCACTTGCATACATACAGTCATCTCATATGCTCGCTATCAGCATACAAGCATGCGTCCTCATAGTAACACTCTCACACAAGATTTATTCTAAGTAGTGCCACATATGTTGCATACTACCCACCTAATATAATGCCTTAATTGAGTAATGTGATAACAACTGAGTAATGGGTCTTGAATACAACAGTTATATTCTTTTATAATTAAAAATTCATTTATTGCAAACACTTGGATATATAGAAGGGTAAATTTTTGTTCCTTTTGTATGTTTTTTAGTTGATTTATGACCCTAATCATAAATTTTCCTCCTATTATTGGATTTGAATTTATATTTTCGACATCCGGCCCTACTAATGAAAAATTAGATTATAACAGAAGATAACATGCTATCACCAACGATCAAGGCAGTCACTTAACTATCATCGACAATAAAGGCATAGTTGAAAGTTAATGCTAAGAACCATGGCATCAGTGTCGTTGGGAGTTCACTGCGAAGCTAACGATCCCTCTTTTCTCGTCTCTGTTTACTAGGAACCTGTTATTTGGAATTGGTTTCTTCATCTCCGTTGCTCGGAAATGTCATTTCAGATGATTTTGGGACAATCACATTATCAAAAATATGTTTGAAAAATAGTTAGTTAACATTAGATAGGGATGTGGAATGACCATAGCGTTTTAAATTACTCCATGTTTACGCCAAAGATTATCATTAAGTTTATATCTTTTTTCATTGGTTGAGAAAACACTTGGAAATAATATTAAAAAAAACAAGCATTATTGTTTTCTTTTTACACATGATATAATTATAATTTATAATTAGTAATGCATTCATTGAAATAGTTGCTTACAATATTTGAGAAAATATTAGAAGATAGAAGCCCTAGACTTAGAGAACAAATAATTAATATATGATGTATAATTTTATGGTATGCATTTTTTGTATCATCGACAATAAAGGCATAGTTGAAAGTTAATGCTAAGAACCATGGCATCAGTGTCGTTGGGAGTTCACTGCGAAGCTAACGATCCCTCTTTTCTCGTCTCTGTTTACTAGGAACCTGTTATTTGGAATTTGTTTCTTCGACGTTGCTCGGAAATGTCGTTTCAGATGATTTTGGGACAAAAAAAAAATAATTCTTATATATATTTATGGACCAAAAAACATGAACAAAGAAAATCAAATGCATTTTTGATTTAATTCTTTCTTCATACATTTATTATAATTTTATCTTTAAGAATAATCAGGAAACAAAACAGTATCTAAGCCTAACACGCTTGAAATATTCTAGACAGAAAAATATAGATCAATTCAAGCATTCCTAGAATTTTACATCCTAAAAATAAACTGAATGTTAACGAGACCCCGCAAATGATTTATGAAGGCAATGAAAAGGAAACAGGTAATGCACACAAAACCCATTTTATGTTTTATTCATGAGTAAAAATCTATAGAATACCGCAACGAAAACATTTGTTTAAGATGTAGACATGAGCATCATACTTTAACATATAGGTTTATTTAAGATGGACATATTGCTTTCAAAAATCACATAAGAAAACCTTTAATAAAAAATATTTTGGAAAAGCAAAAGGTACGATCAAGTACTACAAAATTTGATTTCATGTGCTTTTAGGTAGAAATCCGTGTAACAAATATATGTTCACATTATCAAAAATATGTTTGAAAAATAGTTAGTTAACATTAGATAGGGATGTGGAATGACCATAGCGTTTTAAATTACTCCATGTTTACGCCAAAGATTATCATTAAGTTGATATCTTTTTTCATTGGTTGAGAAAACACTTGGAAAGAATATTAAAAAAAACAAGCATTATTATTTGCTTTGTACACATGATATAATTATAATTTATAATTAGTAATGCATTCATTGAAATAGTTGCTTAGAATATTTGAGAAAATATTAGAAGATAGAAGCCCTAGACTTAGAGAACAAATAATTAATATATGATGTATAATTTTATGGTATGCATTTTTTGTTGTTGTGGTATGATGTTAATGATCAATGTTATTACTAGACAAGGTGATGCTTTAGAATGATTATTTTAGTATTTTAGATCTATTATACCAAAGAATAGCGATATAGATAAAATATATCTTTAGAGTTAAAGGTTGGATGGTTAAACTTGATCAGTTATTCAGGCATTTCTTAAAAAAATATAATATCATTCAGGGTTATAAATAAACTTTACAAAATTACAATTAGACTGGGATAACCATGATGCTTCCAGAACTCTGCCACAAATATAAGTTAGGATGGCCATGATGAAAGCATTAATATCATGCATTTAGGCTGTAGAAATTTGATGGTTGTATTGGATCTAATGCATTCCGGCTATATTAGGATATGAAAATTATCTTGCTTTTATGTAAATGATGTGACAAATGACATGGTATAAATGACATTCTGCAAAAGACAGAATTATTTATCGGTTTAGTCTATATTTTAAAATCTTTTGCTTTATGTAAATTATTTTGTTATAGTGGGCCAAAATTTAAAAAAAACATTGCTCAAACGGTAAATATTGCGATAATATTCAAATATTTATGTTTCAATGTTGTAATCAAAATCGTTGTCTTAGCTAAACTAATTATTACTGACACTAAAATAATTTGGTGCAAATTGTATGAAATGTATTGATGTAGATTGTACTACAAGTTCAAATTAAAATTCAGAATTTAACCTTCTCTCATGTTTTTTCTTTTTAGGTCTTTTGTGGTTTGAATTTCGGTTCTGACTCTCTGATTTTTCTGCAAAAAAGAGTACGTAATGAATTTAAGTGTGTTGAATTAACTTTTTGTATTTTGGTACTTGCAATGCATCTCCTACTTTTAAATGCAATCATTTATTTATCCTGAATTTTATATTAGAGCTTACTTAAGACATGTTTGTTTATGTTATGATCCAACCCCTAAATTTTTTTTTTCCAACTTAGTATTATATAGACTGCATAAAGTTGTTCCTTAGTAGAAATATTCATAAATAAGCTATATTGACAAAGTTAAAAATGTCAGAATGCGTACGATAGAGATCAATAAAATTTTTAGCTGGACATTGATATCATTCTTTGTCAACATGGAGAGTGTCTACATCTGTTCATATTTTAATGATAGGGACCGCTGA